TTAGATACCAAAGCATCCTAGTGTGACAAATCTTCTAATTAAAAGGTGAAAGATGGTTTAACACTGTCTAGTCAGTGCAGCTATCACCACAAGCCTTCTCAACGAGGGGCAGAACACTTGGTCCCAGAAGACCTCGCTGTCTTTCTGGAAATTACTATTAATCGAATCTGCCCAAAGCAAGTCTGATTCACTACATTACATTGCAGTAATCCCTGAAACAATTTGCATCATTTCCAAATACGTACATAGGGTCAGCAAATCCTAACAATCAAATATTTCGTTTCTCGGCTCCATTCCCGGCTCCTCTGCCCAGTAGCTCAGAGCCCATGAGCAGATGTTCACGTTCAGCAGCGGCAGTGGTTCCAAACGTGGGGCATCGGGGGGCCCCGTGGTTACTCTGCACAGACGCGCCAACCAGACTGACTGTAGCAGGGCCTTGAACGAATTCTGTGCAAAATGTCTACATATAGACAGAAATGTTCTGTGATTATCAAGTGGAGGGGCATGGATATTTTGACATTAAAATGGAGCCTCTGTATTTGACAGAGAATTAGGGAGATTTTGGACTAGGGCAGTGAGAGATAGGGGATGACCTTCGGTGGTTCACACGCAATAACAGTGAACAATTGTTGAACCAATTCTCTTTCAGTTCTGCTACTTTTCTCAAGAAGAAAGTCTCCATTAGATGTTAATATGTCTCTAACACCTTCCCCACCTGGCTGGTCTTCCTCTGGAACCTAGGGCAGTCCCCAGGCTCAGAACATTGGCAATCGACGGGGTATGGCTAGAATTTTAAACTCTTCTTTTTGTGTTTTCATTGTATTCACTATTGTGGTTATTTCTATTATGGCAAGTAATACTGTTTTCTTCATTTGTAAGTAGTTAAATATAAGGTTCCCTCTTAAAGGGGGGTAAGTTGAAAAGAAGCGAGGCAATTTCAAGTAAAATCTTAAGTGACTAATAGTAGAGCTGGTGCAGAAACAAGGCGAAAGTGTGGAAGTGATACCCAAGAAGCCACTGGTACAGGATACGTGGAGAGTCCGGATGAGAGAATTTCAAAATTTCAAAGAATTCTGCTGTCAATCACTTGACAAAACAGAGGATCATTTGGTAATTCACGATTTCTTCTCCATTTTTAAGTGTGGTAAATTCAGAGTTGTATATATCAGGATTGCTAAAAGTCAGACATGTTTTGATTTTCTTGGATGTAACAGAATATAACAAGCTTCAAAAACAAACAGTAACAATCCTCTTCACAATTTGTAAAAGGCTTTCCCATACAAGTAGCATTTGGGTGAGGCAACAATTGAAAATCCGCATTCTAATTCCTTCTCACATTAAAATACTTTGTGACCGGAGGCCAGTTACTTAGCCCTCTCAGAGTCTCCATCCCCTCCAGTTCAGCTCACCTTGCCGGGGTTGTTAGTGAGTCAATGGTCAGGTGACAAGACTGCAAATGCCTTGCTATAGACATGCAAGCTCAGATAACCAGAGGACTCCAGCTTTGGGGAGGATTCAGATATTAAATGGCACAGTTTGCTAATAGCAAATGGTAAGGGATAATTTGGGGCAAATTCATTCTCTCACTGTACCACCTCATAGGATTCAGGCTTATGAAAGAGGCCTAAAGGCCAAGAGGTCGCTTATGCTGTAGTAACTACCGAGAGGAAGGACTATGCTCCCAAATCTTATTATCTGAGATAAGGGGCTAGGCAGAGAGCAGGAGCTTATGAATGCTTCATAACTGCCACTCCTGGAGAGGTTCTAGAAGTGAATTAGAGCAGCAGGAAAGTCGTACATCATCAGCTGAGTGTCTGTGGTCCCCTTGGCTCACACCGGAGCCGCAGAGCAGCCATGACTCTGGTGCTGAATGGAGAAAAGTCTGGGAATGTGGTACTTACTATCTGTTGGCCATGTTTTGAAAGTGCAGTGAAATGAGAAGTCCTGGGACTGGCCTGAACTGCTACACACACACCCACACACTCACACACTCACACACTCACACACACATGCACACTCACTCACACATGCACACTCACTCACACACACATGCACACTCACTCAGACTCACACACACTCACACACTCACACAACACACACTCACACTCTCACACACTCATTCACTCTCACACACTCATTCACACTCACACACATTCACACCCTCACACAAACTCACACTCACACAAACTCATACTCACACATTCACACACTCACACACATTCACACTCACACTCACTCACACATGCACACTCACTCACACACTCACACTCACACTCACACACTCACACTCACCCACACACTCACCCACACTCACACATTCACACAACACGCTCACACAACACACTCACACACTCACGCACACATGCACACACATCCACAAACTCACACTCACACACAAACTCACACTCACACATTCACACACTCAAACACATTCACACTCACACAACACACACTCACACACACATGCACACACACTCACACTCATTCCCACACACTCTCACACTCACACACACTCACACTCACACACACTCACACACTCATTCACACTCACACTCACACACACTCACACTCACACAAACTCACACTCACATTCACACTCACACAACACACACACACTCACTCACACACACATTCACACACACTCGCTCACACACACTCACATTCACACTCACACACACACACAGAGCCAGGCAAGAGCGAGACAATATATTGAATGACTGCTCTGTTCAAAGAACTGTCCTGCTTTTATCTTTTACCTGTGCTATCTCAGTTAGTCCTTGTGCAAAACTCATTTGACATATGAGGCAACTAAAGTTCAGAGAGGTTAAGTAACTTCTCCCAAGGTCACACAGCTAGAAGACAACTGAGACGGCATTGATTCTAAATCATCTCTTCTTTTTACTCTTTTTGAGCTATTATGCTTTTACATTTCACAGCACATTTCAGAAACACACATGCAAAGTACATATCACATTCATACATCCACAAAGGCATTTAACACATTCACACCCTATACCCATGTACACATACACCCCACATATACACACAAAAATGCTCATCTTAAAGCACACACTGAACAGCACACTTTCACATGAACATAGGTATTCACATTTTTGCACGTACAAATCTATGTAACATGATCCACTATTCATCCACAAAAACTCCCATGCACACTCTAATCCCCACACACATCCATACACATACACCCACTTGTACACATAACATACATACACATCACATCTAGAAACCTATCCACATCACACAAACTCACAAACATCTATAGATATACACATAAAAACAGTAAAATGCATTTGTCCCTGATCCTGACAATCGAAACTAGTTCTTCGGTATATGATTAGGAACCTTCGGATTACTGAGTGTCTAAATAATCCTGGAATATCTTCTGAGTATACAAAGGAATACCAGATTGCTTTCAATATTTTTTTTTTATTACTGGGTATAATAGTCTAATTACTTTAAAATTATTAATCCATATATGCATATTTACAAATGCCCTACTCATTAGGATATTTGATTAATTAAAGTAGCTTATTATCCATGCATTCATTCATTCACCGTGCAAATTACTAAACACCAATTATGTTTGAGACACCATGGTAGATATAGTAGAAAAGTAAAAGAACAAACAATAAATAAAAACACCATGATTCCTGGTCTTAAAACACAAATACAAATGACTATAATAAAAGGTATCACGGCCAGGACCTGGCGAGTGAGGGGTGTGAGAGGGGATGGGGACCAGGAGACAAGATGGCCCTGAAGCGGCTGGTCCTAGAGAACGGGCAAAAGTAGGTGTCATCTGAAGAAGCTGTGGTCTGGAGCAGCAAGTTTGGAAAGGAAGCTGCGGTATTCAGTTTGGGAGAAGAATGTGAGGCACGACATCTAGATGGATGTGCCCTGCAGATATTTGCAAATGAGGAAAGCGGGATCAAGGGAGAAGCCAGCACAGAGACAGAGATCTGAGAGTCATCCGTTCGTTAGGCGTGATCACTTAAACAGTTACAACTGAGGAGATCAGAGAAGGAGCTGAGGCCACGAACGTGATGGAGCGCAAGTCCTTGGGGAACACCATGCCCTACTTGGCAGTGCAGGCTCGCATGTCCCTATGCGCGCGCTTCCTCCGGTGCACCGCCCCTCAGCACACACGACAGGGTGCGCCAGCTCCCAGCTCTCTCCTGGGTAGAACCGCAGGACTGGGAAAGCTCAGTCGCACAAAACAACCCTGCACCTTCCAATCCTGACTCCGGAAATCTGCATGCCTTTGAAAGTGTGGCAGGGAGAGGACGACTGTTCTTAGACATCAGTAATTCATACTACGCTATGACCTGAACCGACTTTGTTGAGTGGGAGCGGGGAGTCAGTTCCTTCCACCAGCCGTGCCTCAGTAAACCGGGCATTTACTGAAGTGTGTGTTTCATGTGATAGTCGTCCCATATATATAGGCATCTAAGCTTGTTAAATATTCTGGGAAGAGCTCAGGTAAAGACGTGTTCCGAAATGCATTTCATTTGGGCAATTTTTCTTTTTAATTAGTGACGGATTCTGAAGACAAACTTTAGGGAAAGCCTGGACTATATGATCTCTAAGATTCTTTTGGCTGTGCTGTTCCATGGACCTATGAGAGTGCAGGCACCCAAAACACAGGGCTAGGCCTGGCAGGAGGTTAATCCTTCAATCTCCGATCCCAGGGAGACCAGCAGCCAAGTATGATTGCTCACATCCCCCAGAGATGCAGCCTAAAAGAGTCAGCAGCTTCTCAGCAGCAGTCAGACACTCGGCTGCCTGCCAGGATCCCACACTGGCTATTTGGGCTGGATAAACAATTTAGCCTGGGCCTTACCTCATTAAGGATCTGTATTACCTATTTCTCAGGCTAAGAACACTCTAGTGGTTCTACAGGGTCTGGGCAGGGCTGGGATCTGACCACAGCATGAGAAAGAGCCATCATTAACCCTCTGCTTTCCTCTCTCCCTTCTCAGCCTTGCTGCTTCTAAGGAGGCTGAAGCTGCCCGCTCCGCACCCAAGCCTATGTCTCCCTCGGACTTCCTGGATAAGCTAATGGGGAGAACCTCTGGATATGATGCCAGGATCAGGCCCAATTTTAAAGGTAGAGAAAATTTTCCTTCCAGATCCCCAGGGATCTGTTTTTGTAGATGAAGAAGCAAGCAGCATGGTATTGGATGCAGATGGCAAATACATGATAAAAATCTCATGACTCTTTCCTCTGCCCAAGGCAGACTATTAATCGACTCAGTCTGTTCCCCACCAAGCCCAACCAAATGAAGCCTCAGAAACCAACTCAACAATACCTCTAGTTACCAGGAGTCAGTATGTAAATTAAAACCTATTTGCTACCTCTGGTATAATAGACAGAGGCAAACGTAGAATGTAAAGAAATGGGTTTGAGTTTTGGTTCAGGTACAAACTTACTCTCTGAACTTGAATAAGCCTCTTCCTTTCTGTGAGCCTCAATTTCTTCATCTCTTCAGTGATGGAGTTGGCTATATCTATGGTCTTTAAACCATGCTTCATGGAGCTCTAGGACTCCCATTCCAAGAGTAGCCAGAATCAAGATTTATGCAAAACTTCCCGATTCCTAAAACATGTAAATTCAAACGAAACATGCTGGTGAGCCAGACATGCCCTGTGGGTAGCCAACTCACCAACCCTCATCAAAGTGATCTGGGAGGTTTCTTTTAGCTCTCGCAGTCCAATGGGATCTTAATGCCTGTAACAAGAAAGGACAGCCCCCTTGCCCACTGCTACCTCAAGAGGCTGTGACACCGTGAACTGCTGAGCAGCATCCTGCAGGTGTGGCCTTCAGGACTCCCTCTCGGCCTGTGCCCTCGGGCCTTCCTCCCAACACCCCGGCAAAAGTCGCATTTCAAGGATCCATGGCAGCCTCCTAATAAATTTTTATTCCGATGCCCTTCCTTGCTGTTCCTTTTGGCTCAAGTCCAAGACCAAACAAGGGATATGACAGCTGGTAACAGCTTCCTAATATTTGCCCCCCATTCTCAGAGTGCTCAGCAAATAGACAGCTGACTGGGAGATGCACCAATGTTTGTGTTGGGGCCCACCTCCCACTCCTGTTTACCTTGAGGCTCTTTTGCTCCCCCAGCACTCTGCTCCTGAGGCCACATCTTCCAGCACCATTAGCATAACCTTGGTCCTCTCAAGGACAGGTAAGTCAGGACCAAGGTTGTTGTCATAGCACGCTGGCCTCAAGCCCTTCACCAGGGTCACAATCTCAAACACCTAGAGGGACCAGGCAGGTATGGCACATGAGTGAAGCAGGACGAAGATAAGAAAACGAGGAAGCACAGGGCTAGTCTAAGTGCAGCCGCTTCTCAGCTCCTGCAGTAGATCAGGCAGTTTTTTTTTCAGGTCTTCCAAGATAAGACTTGAGTCTGGGGTTTGGTGAAATCTTCCAAGTTGGCAGCTAAATCACATCTTTTAGAAACACCATAGGCCAAATCGCACACATTTGAGAACTGACCACCAGGTCGCATCCCCCACTCCGAGCAGTTTTGAGGAGTTCCAGCTCACCACGCCCCCTGGTGGGTGCTCTCAGAACTCCACCTTCAGTGCCATGGTCTGGTTTTCCTGAGGAGGAACTCTTGCTGCATTCAGGGTTCACGTGTTAGTTATCCTTTGTACACTGTACTTGGCACATAAAAGCACCACAATAAAGCTTTCAAGATGAATTAATGAACGAATGAGCCAAGAAATATGCTAAGGCATATAGCAGTTAAGTGACTCTCCCAAGTCATATTGTCAATGCTATAGGACTAACCCAGAGAGCTACTCTGACTCAATTCTCTGTCTAGTGCTAGTTGTGTATTTATCTGTTTATTTGCTTATTCATTTACTTATTGACTTACTTAGCAGTGGACATTTTTAAAAAATAAAATTTCTCCCAGACTATAACACCATTGAATTAGGGCCCTTCCTCTCCACACTGAGAACTTTATTCCAAACACTTGAGCCCAAAATCTACAGAACTAGATAATCTTAGTCCTCTCCCAAAACTGCACTGTCTCTCACCCCTTCAGGCCCCTCCAAGTCTGGCTCTGGGCAAGGTGCAGCCTCCTGGAATCCCACCGAGGAACTGGGAAGTGGGGTTCTCTACACTCCCTTGCAGTGAGGGCTGAAACACTGGCATGTGGGGATCTCCCGACCCCAGCCCCATGGTCCCTTCAAACTTCCCCCCAAACACAAATAACATTCCCAAAAGCCCCGCACTAACCACAGAGCTCCTGTAAGGCCCCCGTAACCCCTACCCAATAGGAAGAGACCTGCATCGTTTGAAAACTTGACAGAGTGATTAATCACCAGAAATTTAGCCTGCCCCCGATTCTCCTGCAGATAGGTGGAACGGCAGGTTCGGTCTACAGAACACAGTGGCAATGTAAATCATAACATAGAAGTAAAGGAATGCTAAAACTGAATTCTACAAAGCCTGCTACTTACCTGGCACACATGACCCAGGACAAACCGCTTGATGTAGCTGGGCCTCTGTTTCTGCGTTTATAAAATGATCCAGTAGAACAAGGCCTTTTCAGCTCTGATATTCTCTTTCTTCTTTAAGACTTTGTATAGGATAATGGTTCCCAGGATCCAAGGCACAGCGCAATGCAAACACATACACAAAAGCAAAATTAAACTTTAATATTTAATGAAATATATATATCATCCTTCTGCCAAAGGCAGCTGGATTGTAATTTTCTTGAGGACAATTTAATTTCAGATTTATATCAATGAATCTCACCTCCCCATGGGGTCCTTTTGGCTGGCACCCTTTCCCACACATAAATCAGGATCTAATTTATATGGGAATCACAGCCCCAGACATTTGCAGGGCTTGGGTGGGAACTCTGTGTACGTCATTCAAGGCATAGGCATTAACTCTTTGGGGCATCTTAATGGTATGAGGTTAAATGAAAAGAAAAGCCTGGGTCTGAGTCTAAATGGGGAGGGGGTGGGCGACTAATAGGCGTTATTTAAGTGGAAGTGACAAAGAAGCAGATTTCCATTCAGTGTAAGGAAAATTTTTTAGCAGACAGAGCTATCCAACTATGGAAAGAATTGTTCAAAATGAAATGAATTCCTTACTACTGGAGGTGTTCAAGCTCTTAGCCTTGAATGGGCAACTGTCTACAGCAGTGGTTCCTAAACCTGGCTGTGCATGAGAATCACCTAGGTAGCTCGTTAAAATCTAGACTCTGGGCTAATCTCAAGAGATTTGGGTTCACTGGGTCTGGGATTAGGCCAAGGAATCTGTAGTTGAACTAGTGCCCCAGGTGATTCTATTGCAGATAGCCCTGTCTACACATTGATTTGGGAAACAATTGATTAGCTGACCTTTAAGAAACCTTCCAGCCCTGAAATCCTATAACCTTGTAATTCAAATGCATAGCTTCCATGAGGGAATTCCAAACCACTGGGGCTCAGAGTGGCTGCCTAGATCAAGAGCTACTCTCCCAGCCTGCTGGGGCAATTGCAATCCAGGACGCGGAAAGGGCATGCCTGAGGTAAAACAGCCATGTGCTGGAGCTATGTCAAAAACCTAGGGGGCCCAGCTCTGCCTTGGAGGGAAAATCTGGATTCTTACCACAAGGCTGAGTCCCTTCCTACAAGCCAAGATTTCTGAAAAGAAGGAAATTGTGTCTGAGTTTGGGTGAAATGCTTGGGCTACTTTTTCAAGAG